TCCAATCTATAAAGAGGCTTAGTTATAAATATTAGTTCAAATAATAGTTGTATAGCATGTCAAATAACAGATCGAATGACAGATTGAATGTCTGATTGAATAGCTGATCGAATGACATAATTTGACATTTTAAATGGTAGTCGAATTGAATATCAAATGTCATGTCAAATGTCATATCGAATGTCATGTCGAATAGCATGTTGAATGATATGAATTGACATGTTGAATGGCTGTTGAATGTTGTCATTTAACATGTCGAATTTTTTAAAATTTACCAGTGATTATATAAATCTTAATATTTAAAATTTCATCAAGTATATATCATAATAGAAAAATAACTTAGTATTATTATACCCGATTTATTTTATCTAAGTATATAATAATCCAAGCTTAAATGCTTATCGTTATACCATTAAATCTTTATGAGCCTTATCTCGACTTAATTAAGTGCAACGGCACTATTTCGTTTATGTGATCAATTCAAAGTTTAATAAGATCTTATTAATTTACTTTACATTTATCTATTCTTGTATTGGTCGATTCTTTTTAAGTTCATGCTAATTATAAGTCTATCTATTATCGTGTACCATCTTAATAGATATCAGATCTATTAGAAAGAATTCTATCCATGTATTGAACTACTAATTATATAAGACAATTGGAAGTGTCTTTATCAAACTTAGAACGTAATCCACTGCATATTAAAATAGTCAATACTTCATCATATATATTATCATAATAAAGTTGTCATTTTCGTCATCAAAACTGTAAATGTCTGCTGCTATTATATATGATTGTTCATTTAATACTTTAGAAGCAATATAAGTTAAAACTCCATAAATATTATCTTCTAAATTTGATTTATCTTTCTTTCTAAATAATCCTAAGTCTATAATATAAAATGTTATATTACCATTGATACATTGATTCTGTAATATATTGTTGCTATAATGAATATATTCAGCTTCGTGAATTTTCATCAAACTACATTGCTAAAAATACTGATTTAAATTCCTTTTTAGCGATCTTTTGAACATTATATATTCTTTTAAAAAGATCTACTCGATCATAATTTTAATTTGTGGCTTTAAGTTGAAATTCTTTAATTCAATTATTAATATCTTTACTTTCATTTATTCATCCTTCGGAGGGTCACATGATTGATACCAAATTGACATATATCATATTTTATAAAATTTTCGTGTCTTCCATATACTCGTTCATTGAAGTATCTTCAGTTAATTTTTATTTTTTTTTATTTTTTATTTTTTATTTTTTTATATATAAATATAAAGTTTATTAATAATAATAAATAATAATACAAGTTTCATTGTTCATTACGATTATTATGTCATCATAACGTATTGTCTACTATTAAAATAGTAATTTAGACTGATTCATATCCTTTTTCGCTCTTTCCCCTTCTTTCAATTTTCCTTATCTAGCATAATACTTCTTTAACAATTTTCTATTTATAGGGGTTTTAATTATTTTTCCTTCATTGGATCAAAGTTTGTATACTCCTTTCTCTAGAACCTTATGAATAACGAAAGGTTTTTTCCACTTCAGATGAAGTTTGTGACTCTTGGAATACTGTTGCGATGCCTTATATACTAGTACTTGATCTCCTCTTTAAATTCTTCTATAGGTAATAAGTTTTGATTATATTTTCTTTTAGCACTTTCTTGTGCTTTTTCAACTCTTTTAACAGCTTCATTTCTTACAATAGGTAAAACTTTAATTAATTCGAAGAGTCTTTGAATAAAAGTTCTTTCCAATAACTCTTCTTCATTTTCATCAGAATATATCGGAAATCGGGCTTCTCTTCCATAAACCAAGAAGAATAGACTTATCTTTGTAGCACTTTGCTTAGCAGTTCTATAGGCAAAGAGTACCGAAGGTATCATAGAATCCCACTCTCTCACATTTGTAATTAGTTTAGATATAGATTCACATAGTGTTTTATTAAATCGTTCTACTAATCCATTTGTTTGTGGATGATAGGGTGTTGAATAATGATGATTAATATTAAATTTCTTTAAAAATTCATCCATTAGAGCATTATGGAAATGAGTTCCCCTATCAGATAGTAGATATTGTGGACACCCATGGCGACATACTATGTTTTCATAAATAAAATCTGCCACCTCTTGAGCATTAGCATTTTTAATTGCTCTGGCTTCAGGCCATTTAGTCATATAGTCTGTAGGACTACAATGTATCTATTACCTTTAGGTATTATAGGTAATTTTCTAACAATATCAATTCCAATTTTATAAAATGGAGCTTTGACCGGAATTGGATGCAATGGAGGTTTTGCTAAATTCTTTTCTCTTCTTTGACATGCATTTCAGGTATGAACGAATCTTCGTATATCGGTATATATCTGCAGCTAATAATACTTAGCCCTAATTTTATTGAACATTATATCAATTCCGAAGTGTCCTCCCAATGGATAAGTATGGACTAGAAATAAAATGAGTTCAACTTCATATTTTTGTATAACCCTTAATATATGATTAACTTTATGTTTATCTTTCTTGTAGATTAGTCCCTTCTTTACTATGAAAAATTGGCTTTGGGCTTGAATGCTTCGTTTTTCTTGAAAAGTTAACGTACGTGGTAATATATGTTCTATTAGATATGACTTAAGTAATTTATATCTAAGTGGTTCCATTTTTAAATTTTTGCCAGGACACCGACTACCTGAACTGGATTAATCTTTAATGTCGGATTTGAAAAGTTCTAATTTTATAAGTATTCTTTATAATAAATTTAAATTTTCTTAAAACTTATTAAAACTTTGTTCTATTTCGTTCTTATATTAAATAATTAATTCTTTACTCAAAAGTAAGATTTCTTTTCAATTTAATTTCTATATAATATCAAAACTTTTAACTAATATATATTTTAATTATACTAATTAGGTTCAAGTCTCGTACAGTACTTATTAAGGGTAGCTAACCCCGCCAGTACTAGGCTAGATAAGTGTCTAACAGGTCTGAACAAACCTTCAATTTTCGCATAGTACCTATTATAGCATAAGCTTCACTGGTACCGGGCTATATCAATGACTAACAGGCAGAGTACCTTAATCAATTTTCGCACTATTAGGTGACTGACAGGCAGAGTACCTTAAGTCTGTTTAGTGTAATTCTATAATTTTCTTAGTTTAAAGTTTTTTCTAATAAATTATATCACGCGTGATTTTTTTTTTTTTTTTAAAAAAAACTTTATAAATTAATTTCACAATTATTCATTTATTTTGCCTTTTCTTTTCATAGATACATTCACGATAATGCATCTACATTAGAATATTTCCTACCAGCCTGGTATACTATTGAATAATTATATGGTTGTAACCTCAAAATCTATCAGGCCCTTTTCCCTTTTGGTTCAGAAGTATGTAACCATTTAAGAGCAGCATGGTCCGTAATTAGAGTAAAATGGTTTGCTTCTAGGTAATAGTGGAAGTGTTCTACTGCCCACACTACAGCTAGATATTCCACTTCCGGGCTGAATAGTTTTATTTGGTTTTAGAAAGCCCACGACTTGCATATGCTACCACATATTTCTTGTGGTCTTTATCTTTTTGAGCTAGTATAGCTCCTAATCCTACACCAGATGCATCTGTATGAAGATAAAATTCTTCTTTGAAATTTGGGTATCTTAAAATTGAAGTCATCATAAGATGTCTTTTCAACATTTCAAATGCAATTTGCTGACTTTTCTCCCATTTATAAGGTATGTCTTTCTCCAACAATATATGAAGTAGTTGAGCTATCATAGCGAATTTCTTAATAAATCAGCGATAATATGAAGTTAATCTAATAAATCCCCTCAATTGATGAAGATTTTTCGGTATAGGAAATTTTTTAACCTTTTCAACCTTTGACTCATTAGGTCTTATTCTCTTCTTGTTTATTATATGTCCCAGATAATGAATCTCGGATCTAAAAAAGGTATATTTCTCCGGATTTAGCTTTAATTTTGTTTTTCTTAATTTGTCAAATACATATTTTAAATGTATTAAATGTTCTTCAAATGAATTTATTATATGTTAATATCATCTAAATATACCACAGCAAATCTCCCAATACAATCTCCAAGAATTGTATCCATTAGCTGTTGGAAAGTTCCCGGTGCATTACAAAGGCCAAACGGCATAACTTTGAAGGCGTAAGTACTATATTTAGTTATGAATGTTGTTTTTTTTATATCTGCTTCATTTACTGCAACTTGCCAATACCCACTTATTAGGTTCAAAGTAGAAAACCATCTAGCCATTCCGAAGGTATCTAAGAGATCATTAATAAGCGGTAAAGGATATGTATCCTTTTTAGTAACTGAATTTAATTTTCAGTAGTCTACGCAGAAACATAGTTTTCTATTTTTCTTCAGTACTATGACTACCGGAGATGCCCAAGGACTAATTATATCAACTATAAGTCCTTGTTCTTTTAATTTATTTATTTCCTTTTTAATAAACTCATTTTCTTCATAGGCAGCTCTATAGTAGGTTTGTTTAATTGGCGCGACATTACCGGTATTAATACTATGAGTCGTAACATTTGTTCGACCCATATTTTCAATATTTTGTACGAATAGGGTTTCTTCTGTAAGTAAAATTTCTTTCGCCTTTAATTGTTTTTGCAGAGTTAGTTCCTCATTATCTACTATTTCTTCTATTAATTTTTTAACTGATTTTTCTTATCTTCATCCTTTTTATTTTTCTTTATAGGTACCTCCTCTATATTTGTAAGGTACATTGCTAGATTTTCTTCAATAAATAAGAGTTAACTTTCTAACTCTTCGAATTCTTCTTCTTCATAGTCGAATTCATCAAAAGTGTCGCCGCTATCGCTTTGGAGTTCATCTTCTTCATATGGCCCTAAACCTTCAGTACCATTATTAGAAATGAAGACTTCTGCTGATCTATCAGCATATTGTAGGTATAATTTTTGCTTGTCAAAGTGTATTCGAGCTTTTGTTTTCTGAAACCAATCAGTGCCCAATAATAGAGTGTCATCTGATGACTCTATTACATGTAAGGTAGTAGGGATTACAACATCTTTAATTACTATTCTTATATCTTTAATTTTTCCTAATGTTCTAGCCCTGGCTCCTGTAGTCATTACTACTACAGTAATAGACTTATCGTCTATTTCTAATCCAAGTTTATCTAGTAATTTTTTAGATACTGTACTAACTGCAGCGCCTGAATCTAATACAGTTAATACTGAACTATTTCTAATCCTAATATAATATTGTGCTGTGGTTGTATGATGATATTCCTTAAGAAATTTTGCTTCTTTTGATATTGATGGTCGTTTCAATATCTTAGCCAAATTTCTTCTTTGATTCGGATATTGTAGGATCTGTCCCATAGTAGCACTAGTAGGCAAGGATAAAATATCGTCCACGACATTGTAAGGTGTCAAAGAATCAATCTTTGAAGGTATACATTTTCTTTTAGGTTTTTCTTGAGAAAATGGTTTTTTGATTAAAGGTTTTTCAATTTTCATATTTGATTTTTCTCCTAACTGTTCTTGGGGCATTCTAACTGTCTTTCTTAACCTTTCTTCCTATTTTGGATTCGCCGGCCGCTTCGTGACTTTTTGTTGAGTTACACCATTTACAGTATAAATTTCATTTTTATCTTCTTCTATTTCACAAAAACTAATAGTTTTTGTTTTATTAATATTTTCTCTTTCTTTTCTTTGATTTCTGTAATTATAATTTAGATTTT